AATTCTCGAATGTCGTTTGTTGCATACAGCTATTTGTTATCTCTCCCATGATTACATAGATATGATTAGGGCAGATTTTCTCAGTGCACAATACCTTTCCGGTTGTCATGAACTACCAAACGCGGCAGTCAAATTTGGCAACTCTCTTATGTTCACAGTATCCTACCATCTTTTTTATCCCAATTAATAATACCACCAGCACTCCTACCACTGATGTGAGTTGTGATTGGTTATTTTCCGCAGGGTAAAAGTCCCATGGGAGTAAATTTTTTCAAGTAAAAATTCTCTTTTTTGGGGTAGTTTCTAATTACTAAGATTGATTTGCATCCGTCATTGGAGGAAATTTGTAATTGTATGTTGGTTTACATATCAAAGTTTTGCAACATCATAACTAATTGCGCTCATACAAAATCGATTCTTCCCTTCGATTTTCAAATGCAATCCCAACATTTCCATTGTTTCATTAAAACACAAGTTTCTTGCAAACTCGGTTCGCGCAGGTTAATTGGTATCGACTATTCTGAACCTACTTATCCGAACTGGTTTGTCCTCGCGTATCTGAAAGTCCAGCAAGACCATTTGCAGAAACCCATTCTTCCGTGTCGTCAAATGGGACTTCATACTCAAATTCATAATCAGATTCTTCATCTGACAAGTCTCGCAGAAAGGATTCAAATTTCAAACATTTAGAATCCTACTTAATGGTAAAATATAGATTATAAACCAAATGTAAGCGGGTATAGTATAAAACCTTCTCCACTTTCAGGTAATGATGGTTCGGCAATCTTATCGCCTGATTTCAAAATCATTCCAGGCCACATGTGTGCGCAAGGAGCTCCAAAAAGTCGTCATCAACTGACAAACCTGTAAAACAGTACCTTTAATTAGCTCAATTTGGTGAAGACGATGACTGACTACTCGGCACCAGGGCTCAGCTTAGGCCTGCAGTTAAAAAACAATTTCTTTTCTTTTTTTTTCCTTCAAACTTTTAAAAGACATTGTAAATTTCTTTTCAAACAAACTTAAAAACAATCTACATTGGTGGAATGAAAGATTGGACCTCAAGTGTAGATAAGTGACGTTTAGGATACGTAAAATTAGTGAGCTTTCCTTTGTAAATAAAATTAGTGACTTAAAAACAATCTACATTGGTGGAATGAAAGATTGGACCTCAAGTGTAGATAAGTGACGTTTAGGATACGTAAAATTAGTGAGCTTTCCTTTGTAAAGAAAATTAGTGAGTCATATACTATTTGTCAAGAGCTGAATAACATCTGATGGGCTAGTATGCAGGTTTGTAGAACAATAATGTCACGCACGAGTAATTTAATTAGTTTCACGAGCTCAATAAGACTATTTTTAAACTTCAATCAGTATCTGGGATAATTTTAAAGGGATTTCGCGAGTTTGTAAGAAGTGAAAAAATAGTCAAATGAGAATAGCTGTGACTTGCATACATAACAGTTCCCAAGTTGACAATGTTGGCAACTACTAGAAGAGTGAGGGACTATAAGGATTGGTAATGTGGAGAACAGGAGTGACCTAAATACCAAGAAAGGCAAAAAAAAAAAACGCTTATTTTTCGCAAATATGCACACATATAGAACTGGTTACAAATTTTTAGTCTAAATAGAACTGGAGGAAAACTGAATAGACCATAAAGGACACTGAACCGTGTTTTATGTACATTTGGATGGTGTTCCCAAGTCTTAATTTTTGTTTAAAAGTTAGTAACCGTTTCTATGAAATTGAAGGTTTTTGAAATATAAATACCTTCTGCCAGTTATATCCATTAGCCACATGGGCGTAGCAATGCAAGGAAGCATTAAGAAAGTTGTAATGGCACTTAAGAAGAGAGATGCATGTTGGAATCAACCCTATGTTAAATAGAAGAACAGCGATGCTGGCTTGCTCATAAACCTGGGGAGTGTAGTAGAGAACTCCATTTATGCCGACAATCTGCGCAGCTGAAAAGAAAAGACATAAGAAGGTTGACAAACAAGAAAGTTTCTGAAAGATTTTTGATAATTTAATAAAATTCCAAGCGCTTTTATAACTCAAAGAACTGTTTAACCTCTTCTACCAAACCTGCTCAAGAATTTGAAGTCCAATTCCAACTATTACTGAACGCTTCACTCCCGGTTAAAGATCTCTCCATGTTGGCCCTATAATAACAGCTTCCGATGGAGGAACCTTCTCTGCACGGAGAGAGCGCAGACTTGTCAGTTCCTTGAGTGAAACATCAGGCTGACTAACCAGACCAGCATGAATGAGTTTACTTTCTTATCTTACACCAGAAATTGAAACAACCGACGCAGGCCGACACCCAAGTGCACTATACTGATGCAAATACACTTATTGAACTCCTCCTTCCTTCTTCCCGTCTTCGCCTACTCGGTCAGAATACTTATAAGCCAGCTGCCAACCTCCACCAGTGTCCATACTACTACTGATAGCCTCGCTAGCTTCTACATTTCCTTTCATCAAGATTGTATTGCATCTCACACCTAAAGCACTGCCGCCAGACCTAGGCTTTCCCATGCTTCTTGTTTGGCACGAGATTAGTGGACTTCTCAAGCTTTCATCACAATAAGCCCCGGCTGCTTCAGATTCGTGATCCTCATCATCTGTCTGGCTCTCTATGTCCCAATGTGCGTTTTTATTATGATACTCCCCTGCATTCAAAATGCTTCCAAGATTTGGATAAAACATGCTGCCTTTACTTCCTCTTTCGGACATCTTCTCGTGGACACTGCCTTTACTTCCTCTTTCGGACATCTTCTCGTGTACACTGCTAAGGAGAGTGACCAGATCCACAAGAGGTCTACTTTCGTTCAACGCGCGCCCGTGGTGAGATATAAAACTCTGTCCAGTTGCAGGTTTGGCAATGTATGATAAGCCCTTTTCGGGACCATATTGCCGTATTTAATTTCCCTGATTTTCAGTAAGCACACTGGGGGGACAATTGATGAACTCTTCCAATGATGTTTCCTTGCCTGTGCGAAGACCCTCAACTAGTGAAGCCAACTCACCTGTGGATCATAGAAGCCAAAAAGTTACCTCGAAAATGTCAATGGCATGGAATAAACGGGCCCTATAAATTTCAAAGCTCCTTTTTTAGCCTCCTGCACCCCGTTTCTGGGAGCAAAGAAATAAACGGGCAAATCTAATGGACTCTGTCCCAGCAGCAACAGAGAAAACAAGGGACCCATAAATGGCAAAAGGCAGGAGACAGAGTATTTGTCCAAAACCAAAAATGTGTCAAGACACAGTTGGCTGCAATTTTGACCCATACTCCATCCCAGAATCTGCAAGGAATTAATATATAGGGACAGAGACCTGTGAAATTATGGCCATGTTTTCTACATTGTTGTCTCCTCTTGATATTAAAATCGTACTAAATCTTATTAATCAACACCAAAACAAAATTTCCACCTATTCGTTAATTGGAAATGCTCATAAAAAACTCTTGATTAAACAGTACTCCAACAAGTTTTCCATCTCTGCGTGTAAACTTGATTAACAGAGAGAGGAGAACGTGCTCTACATGTTCATCCAAACAATGTAGTTCTTTGATCTTCCTGCAGAAATTTTGTACTCATAATCTCCATTTCTCCTTGTAGGTTTATATATCTGAACAAAACCAAGTTTTAAGATAATTAATCTTGAAATTTGTACTCATAATCTCATTTCTCCTTGTATGTTTTCCTTCCATTGTTGTTTGTTTTGATTAATTAGAATTTGGTTTTATTAGTGAAGGGCTGTGGCCTACTCACTCACAGTCAAAGGTACTTTAGGATACAAATGTGGTTTCTGTTTCTAATAATTAGCCAGTAGCCACCTACAGATATGAAATCTTTGTTTCTCCAGATTGAAAACTGTTTAAATTCTTGGGTAAATTATATGTTACCACCTTAACTTTGGTTCTTATACCAATTACCTCATCTTTTGAACATTGCAATGTTTTAAGTTAACTTACGAATTTGTTGCAATCTTAAACCTCCGTTAAAATATCCATCAATTTGTTTGTTAATTTTAATTTAATTTAGAACTAAAAATTCTTTAATTGTTGATATTAAATTAATTTTATAACCTAGATATGTAAGGGAGCGGGCATGTGTCTGTCATGTCAGCATTTAACATAAAAATTGACAAATATATGATATTACAACGAATTTGTAAACTGATGAATAATAGAGCAATATTTAAAAGATGAGATATGAGATTATTATGCGACCTAAAAGTGAGGAGGTAAAATGTAATTTACCCTAATTTTTTTAGGTATTTAATTTAAATTAATTAATTTTATTATATTAATCTAAAAAGGTACCACAAATTCACTATACAAAAAAATAAAAAAATTATTTTGTTATACTAAAACTGAAATGTACGTACCCAAACTCCTAATGAAGAAAAAATTGTGAATCATCTGAAGTGGATTGTGAATCATCTGAAGTGGATGGCTGCTCTTGCTCCTCCTCAATATCGAAAGGAACATTACGATCAATCTGCCTGCGTTTCGGATGATCATCCGCCGGGTTCGAAGATAAGGAAAGCCATTGTCGTTGCCGATCATATTCCTCGTGGACGGTATCTGAGGATCCAAGTGGACGAGGCCTCTTCCCAAGACTACTTGTTGGTCCCAAAGACATGGGAAGCCATTCGTCTTGTTTGCGCAATAGTGGGTGCACCCCGCAACTTCTAATGCGTGCGCCCTTGTAGAAAAGAAATTCAACATTGCAAATATCCCCCTGCTTCTTTTCTAAATCCACTAACTTGAGCCCCACATGAGCTGCCTCCAAGTTAGCATAAGGCCATCCATTGTGTGTAGAGCCTTCTGTTCCGTTGATGATAACATAATAATTATCAAAATTAGAATTATTCGGTGGTTCTAAAACAACAGATAGAATCAATCCTAATAACGTCTCCCCCGCTTGTAAATTTAGAGGAATTTTAAAACTACTGCCTCCAATAAAGTCTCTTCTCCCCCAGCCAACTCGTAGATGTTGAAAGGTTGTGCGATGGCTAGAGGTACAGTTGAACAATTTTGGAACTTCATTGCCGGGATAAATAACATCCAAGATAGAGCGCCGAAAAAATCCCTGCAATAGTGAATAATATGTAGATAACTAATTACAAACAACTGTCATTTGATCGCTCTCATAAGGAACAACAAATTATATATTTTAATTTCAAGAGTAATTAAGAAGAGAGACAAACCTCATTCAACAAATTATTTTCCAACTTTGCCACCCCATGGCCACATAGTCTAAAGCAATTTAACAGGTGCAGAACTTGAAGCTCCGGGGGCAGTTTTGAAATTTTCCCCAATGATGTGCAATCATCCAGATATAACTCGATTAGTTTGGTGGAAGGGCTTGTGGAGTTTCCCGAAGCCTCTTGCAACCATTCAAACAAAGTGTTTCCAAGTGGACAAATTTGCTAATGCAATCCGGAAGACTAACAAAATTGTTTCTTGAGAGATCAAGATGTGTTAATGTGGACCAGCAATCAAGAGGCAAAAGGAAATTACTTTCTGATAAATTGCATCCTTCGAGATGAAGAGAATGTAGGTTGGGAAGAGCAAATGTGTTATAGTTGTCCTGTGAGGTCTTTAAGTCATTTGAAAGCAGTTGAGATTTGGTACTGCTGGATGAAACTTCATCAAACTTCATCTTGTTCTTCCCAAATGTCATCAGTTTTGGGCATTGACCGAAAGAAACCTGAATGAGATGTGGCAACCCATAAAGATGATGTAATGATGTACCTACAAGGCTCTCACATTCATTTGCTAACAATTCGGCAAGCCCAGTAAGATATGCAATTGATGAAGGCAATTCTCTTATGCCACTTTTTTGTATATCCAAATACGTTAGAGATTCCATCTCATCCTCTATTTCTGGAAAACTCTCGAGCCTCGTGCAACCATGAAGATAAAGGCTTTTAAGGGATCTCAATCTAAGTTTTGGTGCAAACCTTGTAAGCCTAGAGCACCCCTTAAGATTTAATGTAACAAGTTTATCAAGGAATCCAATAGAATCATCAACCTCAACCAAATTTGTGCAGCCATGAAGATCCAAAAATTCTATGTTTGGACTTCCGGATAAGTCGGGGATTTTTTCCAGAAATTTGCACCCACGTAAATTCATATATGTAAGATTTGCCAAATTCTGTAAAACAAAAATTAAAAAAAAAACAAAACAAGAAGTCACATACTTTAAATAGAATAATTAATGATGAAAAAACTTTGGAAATTTTCTCTTTTTTTGAAAATAAAATATATATACATTTAAATTAGGAATCATCCAAATTAATTTTAAAATGTACATGTACCTTAAATCCCTTCAATTTTCTAATGTCACTGTATGACATATTATATGTCACAAGATGTCTTGGAAGATATTGCAAATTGAAAGTAACCGTATGCTTTTGAAGAATATTGGATCCCCAAATTCGAAACTTATCTCCACCCAAATCAATCCACCTTAAATAGTTGGGCATATAATCAACGCATCCAGAAAAAAGTGCATTACGGCTTATAAAAATTTCAAGATTTACCATCTTGAAGAAGCTTTTGGAATTCAAAGGTATCAAATCTGGTTTGGGCCACTTTACCACAATGCCTTTAATTTTCTTGGTTCCCTAAGATGGAAAAAGAAACAATGTTAACAAACAAGTCGTATAACAAACAATTCAAAAGGGTTGTTTTAAAATCTTTTTTTTTCTTTTCAAAATCATGCCAATTAAACCAAATGCAAGAATATATATATTCTACTTACTCTGTTTTCAGTTAGAACACGGTACACATCTTCATGATGCCACAATCTGCTCCGCTTGCCTGGTTCAATGGGTGATTCTTCACTAACTATACGCTTACCCATTTTTTCTAGTAAGTCATGCATCAAAATCGTATTATCTTCAATAGTTATGATGGCTTTCTCAACGAGTACTTCAATACAATCTGAAGGTACATGGAGCTTCGAACTTCTTAATATTTGTAACATATAGCCTTTCTTTTCACCCTTGAAGAAGCATGCAATGTCTAGAAAAACTTGTTGCAGGACATTATCCAAGGTATCATAACTTTTTCGAAGTATGTTTTGAATACCTCTATAAGGTTCTCCATCATAAGAATCGTAATTATCCAATATAGCTTGCCAACGATCTATACTTTTATTACGCAGATGAGAACCTATAAGATTAAGAGCTAACGGAAGGCCTTCAGCATAGGCTATTGCACGTTGTGCGAGTTCCAAATAATTGTCCGGAGGTTCATTTCTTCGGAAGGCATTCAAACTAAAAAGCTCAAGGGCTTTTCCGTCCTTTAACTTTTCGACCTCGTGTATCAACCCAACACCATAAGATTCCAGCAAACCTCTATCTTTTGTGGTTATGATCACTCTACTACCCTTGGCGAACCAATCGACTTCAACCAAGTTGTTTAACTGCTCCAGTTCATCCACATCATCAAGAATTAAGAGAATCTTCTTTCGCCTCAACAGTTTCTTTATAAGACTGATTCCTTGATAAGCATCGTCAATTTTCAACTTTTTACCACATTGAACTTTAGAAAGAAGAGTCTTTTGTAGTTGGATTACGCCTTCACGTGATGCCGATCTTTCGCTAACATCTGCCAGGAAACAACTAACTTCAAACTTATGAGCAATTGCATTATAAATAGCTTTTGCAATTGTTGTCTTGCCTATTCCAGATGTCCCCCAAATCCCAACCACAAAAGGATCATTTCCTCCGACACCTAAAAGCCCTTTCACCTTTTGAACGCAAGATTGTATTCCAACTGGGTATTTGGCCACATTCAAATATGTGCGTTGCAGTACTTTGACTAAGATCTCCATAACAATCTTATCGATAAATGTAGCTTCATACCTACCAGTTTAATTAAAAAATTTAACACATTTAGTCAATCAACTTTTTTGCTATATATCTTTGAAAAGAAAAAGGAAAGTAAAAAAGATGAAGAGAGGATTACACAAAAGAGAAGTGCTAGCAACAACCGCTAGAACACTCACTTCCTCGTTCGCTAGCTTTGGTGAACGACAAAGCGTATAATCTATATTATTATTAAAAGAAGAGTCTTTGTCAACCAAAAACACACAAAAAGACAACTTTACCCTTACTTTCATAATTTGAGTTTATAAACAAGGTCTAGGAATTGTGGATATTCATGTCAAACAATCAAAATAATCATTGTGGATAATCATTAAACAATTAAAAAAAAAGAAATAAAAGTCCAAAACCAATGATAACTTCCCCACTTCCACCTCCAAAGCAATTGTGGATATTCATGTCAAACAATCAAAATAATAATTGTGGATAATCATTAAACAATTAAAAAAAAGAAATAAAAGTCCAAAACCAATGATAACTTCCCCAATTCCACCTCCAAAGCAATTCTTCTCTTCACGGTAACTTCCGCCCTTCCCCCTCAACCTCAACCCTTAACCCAAAATTTCACCCTTTCTCTTTTTGTAAAATAATTTCTATTGCAATTTGTTATTTTATGAAATTTTTATTTTAATTGATTGTTATTCATTTACTGTTCTTAAGATTAGTAGAAGACAATTTGTGGATGAGAGTAGGGAAACTCTCATATTTTAGTGATTAATTCAAAGGTGAGAATCTGTAGTATGTTTGTCATCAATTAATTCAAAGGTGAGAATCTGAATTTGTTTCCTTCATAAACAATATATGAAATTCTTTTTCTATTTCTCTCCTAATTTCAGTCAACTATGCTAAACAAAATGAAAACAAGCCCATCAGATTAACGAAGTCCAATCCTACTCATTGTTCCTTATTGTAGATAGTGTTGTAAGTACATTTTCCACATGTAAATAGTATGGCATATCATATATTCATTTAAAACTTTCTACATGTTTTGTACAGTTTGAAAACCCGCAGCACCGCGCGGGCACTCTTGCTAGTGACAGACTATTACACGAAAGAATCATATAATTAAACAAATTACAAGGAGTGAAGAAATGTACGTACTCTCCCTCTTTGACCGTATGTCCTGACAAATTTGCTACTTCTTTTAGAGCACTCCTCCATAAGAGGATCTTCTCCTCGTCCTTGTATTTGCACTTAAGTCCTGTAAATGCGCTAGCGAAACTACTCGTTTGATTTCGTACATGGGACGGATCCACCTTGTAGAAAACTAGCCAAACTATTTGCTGTCTTGACCTTCTACATTCGAGGATATGTACGAGCTCATTCAAGCACCATCTTGACGATACATAGTTTTCAGAGATTACAATGATTGAAATTTTTGACTCTTCAATTGCTTTTAGAAAAGCTGGTGATATTTCTTCTCCTCTTATAAGATGGCGATCAATGAAGGTGTCGATTCCGTTACTGTGCAAGGCCTTGTATAAATGATCTGTAAAAGTAAAGCGTGTATCCTCACCTCTAAAACTCAAAAATACATCATATGTCCATGAAGGAGGCAAGGAAGAAGAAGAGGCAAGTTGAATGGCCATAAGAGAATTAAAGACAAGTAAACTAAAGAAAAGAGCCTCTCAAAGAATTGGAATATGCAGTATGGTATGGAGTGTGGACAATGGACTCTCTCTTGTTATATATATCAGGCCTTATGCATGCTTTTCTTCATGTGAAGGAAGCAGCAGTTTCCTACCACCTTCAATGTGAATGTGATCAAGTTGAAAGAGATGAAATTTCGTGGCAATTTCATTGACGATTAAAAATTTTAAAATTGTTACTTGACTGTCTTTAATTTAAAGAAGAGGAAGTTTTGTTGCAAACTCCTACCGACTACCTTTGATGTAACAATCCACCATTATAATATTTTAAAATAATCACAGACAACTGAAAAATATAAAAATATTACATATAAAGTGGCCATACCAAGTGGGGGTCTTTAATTTAAGGAAGATTGTGTCTTTTTCCATTATGGAGTTTCTTTTTTTTTTTTTTTTTGGCGAACAGGAATCAATAACAACCGGGCAAAGATGCCAAAGATACACAGAAGCCTACCCCGAGGCAAAAGCAAGCAACAAACAACTAAGGAGAAGCAGTACAAAGAGGTACAACCGACATCGCACCAAATGCTAAAAATGTCACTCCTCATACTGCTAGGAAGAAATTAATGGGGACAAGGAAGACCATCATTACACAGAACATGAACAAGAGAGGATGGGGGTCTGTTGACCCAAACATTATCACATACCTCCCTACTTTGCCGCAACGCCAGACGATCCGCAGCCATATTTGCCGATCTTGGAGTCCAAGACCAGCGGCAGTCAATAAAAGCCTCCCCCATTCTTTTGCATCGCGCCAGAATTGGAAAAGCTTCCCAACTACCCCTCGTATCCGAGTCTCGAATACAGGATATTGATTCCTGAGAATCTGATTCCACGATGACAAAATTCCATCCCATACTTCTTCCAAGCTCACACCCATGCAGCACTGCCAAGGCTTCTGCCACAGCCACAGACGAGGCCGTGACCCTCCTCCTGATCGCTGCCATAAACCTGCCCTCATCGTCCCGAGCCACCACCCCCACAAAACAGAAGCTCCACTCCTTAACCAGCTCGCATCCACATTAATTTTTATAAAACCCACACAAGGAGGAGACCACTGCATATCAGAAACCAAACCATTGACAGAAATAGGCAAACTACATACCGTAGCCTGAGTATATTCCTTAAAAGCAGCCACAGATTGGGTGATGACTGCGATGATCTGTCGAGGAACTATAGGTTGTTGATTGAACAGAAACTTGCATCTCGCCTTCCATATAAACCAACAAGTTCGATTGATCACTATAGTTTGTCTGTATTCAATTATTTGTTGATATTGTAATCACCTGTGGCCTTTCTTCACCAGGAATGAAATAATAATTCCGACCCAGTTACCCACTTTCGAAGGCCACATCTTTGTTTTGTATTTTTTTTCGACGGACTTAATTAATTAATTGTTAGCTAAGCTGAATAAATGAGCAACACATGATTGGAGGTAGATTTTCTGTCCTCTCACTTTCCGTGTCCTCCTGTTTGTGTGGTCACGGTTAAGTCACATCAACATTTTATATTACTATTCGTTTTTGGCTTATCATCCTTATAAAAAAAATAATATAAAATATTAACAGGGTTTAACCGTGACCACACAAATAGGGGGCATGGGAAGTGAGAGGGCAGAGAATCTGCCTCCCACATGATTTACCTCTCTCTCATCCTTCGTTATCTAGAGGAAGTTCAAATGTCGTTCGATCTTTCTGGATACAGCCAAACCGCCTTGAAACTTCATTGCCTGGAATCATAATTTGCAATCCAGAGCACTCACAAGCAATACTTTGTAGAATAAACATTGGAGGTCCTAGCGTTGAAGGTCCAAGTTTCCTAGATAGAAATAGAACGAGAACCACTAAAAAAGAAAATTTAGTTTATTCACTACGACATTTCTTGGAACATTTGATGGACTTATTATCATCAACCAAATCATATTGAACACATGTGAACAGATTAATCCACACACTCAAAGTTCAATACTTGGTTGACTTGAACCTTGTATTTAACACCCACAACCTCTGCACTAGTAGAATTTGTTGACGAAGAATGCGGCTGCCATTAAGCTTTTTCTTATTTCCCATGCAGATCTTAGCTTGCTTGTAGGACTTTCCCCAAATTTCTCTAAATATGATCGGCTATGCTGGTGTACTGTCCAGTACAGCATTTAAAAATTTCTCATCACCACCCTTCTGCCTTGTATGCAAATCTGTTTGAGTATTCATGTATTCCTGCTGCTTAGCGGGTTGCCTTGGAGCCTCAAATAAATTGAAATTTAGTGATTGCTTTGGAGCTTTTTCAGTCGCATCCCTTAGCGGCAGATTAATGTGCACTTTTGCATGTGTCCGCATAGAATTTTGATTTTGTTGATCCGTCATGGTCTGCTGCTGCCTTTGGGTCATAACAGGTTCAAGGTCAGTAGGCGCTGTTTCTCCCATTGGGCCTTCAATTTCAGATTCTTCCATTGTAGTATCGTTGGTTCCCCCCCCCCCCCATCTCAATGTTTGATCTGCAGAGCACTCATTTGAACCCTGTAGGTTTGCAATTGGTTGATTAGGGAAATTTGAATTGGAATCGTTTTCTTGTTCTTCCAATTGATACGTGAGCTACTCGATTTGCTGTGCCAGATTGTCGATTGAATTTATTTTCTGCAACTTAGGGGTACCCTCCATGAACAACCTAGTGGACTCCTCCAACTTAGCAATCTGGTCCTCCAAAGAAAGTTTTTGTGGCACACAGGGCTGCTGAAAAGCCTGTTGATTGCTTACCCACATAGAAGTAGGATGCTCTGTCCACCGATTGTAAAAGTTTGAATATGAATCGTTCTCATTTTCTATGAATTGATACGAAAGCTGCCCATCTTGCTCTTCAATTATCTTTGCTGATGGTTTGGTATTCGGCATGCTATCAACAAATTGCTTGACACACTCTGCCAATTCAGCAAGTTTGTCATCTAGAGTAGATCTTTGTGGCACGGTTGGCTGTTCAAGGGGCTCTTATATTGTAAAGTTTTGAGTATGGATCGCACCTAGGCCTTTGAGAGTTCCTCATATTGATATAATTCCATGAAGGCAACCCTCCTGTTGGTTGTAGATTCTAGCCCATCGTTTAACTGTTCTCAAAACCAACAAAACATAACCTATAAAAATAAAAATAAAATCAACAAGTAAAAAGATATTTACAAAAATAATTAACTAAGAATATGATAAACACAAATTATTTGAAACGATCGTCGGCAACAACACCAATTTCTTGATAGGATTTTTATCACCTACAAAAGTAGGGATAAAAACACTTAAAAATACTTGCAAGAGTACAAAATTATCGTAGTATAGCAGCTCAAGCAAGGTCGTTTTCCGCAGCGATTGAATGAATAATTTGTATTTAAACTAATTCTTAGTTAATTATTTAGAACAAATTCTGCAGTCACCATTAACAATCCTATGTAATTTTACCCATTACTTATGAATTTCTACATACATGCTTTGAAGGTTAGGTTTTCCTAATACATATTTTCCTTGTGATGTTCAAGCGAAAACATATATCTAACATGCAATCCGTCTGTGATGTCCAGATCAAATATAAACATGTAAGACTCATTAAACTTTGTGAAAACCCTTCGAAAAACCATGCAACCCTTAAGAGCGTGATGTTCACCTTAAGTGAACTTACAATTACTAATCACAAGAAGCCCTCCTCAATTTCAGAGTGATGTTCCAACAGAAATTGCATCAAATTGCTTGTCTAAATACCCTAATGATCACGAATCACTAAAACAATTAGATAGTTTAATCGCCGTGATTAATAATTCAAAGCAAGCATGTATCTATTCATAGGGAAATTAATAAAATCACATATTCATGCTAAGGCTTGTGGCTTCACCCTAGCAAAAGAGCTAGTTACGAACAATCATAATAAAAACTAAAGAAAATATATTAACTAGAAAAAAGAATGAAAACACCTTGTAGGTAAAAAGTTTGAAGTTCTCCAAAATAATGCGTACGTTCTCCCCCCAGAACCCTAATGGCTAAAAAATCCTTATTTATACTACTCCCAATTTAAACCCTCATAGAAAAGGTTTCTAAAAACTAGGAAATAAAATAATAAA